TTAGCTTTAAAAAGGTTACTTTTCAGTTTACAAAATGAGGGGAAAGTCTTTTGTATAACTCGTATCTTCCATACCTAGTGCTCTTCATGCCATCGTGTGGTTCCAACCTTCTACCTGTAGCCTTCTGCTATAATTTTCCTTTGCCTCATAAACTTAGTATTTGAGGTGCAGGTTTTTTGTGTAAATTGCATCAACTTATTGAAAGTACTTCACTTTCAGAAGGTGTTTTTGCTGCATATAGAATTCTAACTTGACGGTCTTTTCTTTTACTATTTAAGATGTTATTTCTTGTCTTTTAGCTTTCAAGGGTTTCTGATGAGATATCTATCATTCTTCTTTCCTCTGTCTTTTTTTCTCGAGCTTCTTTAAGTTGTTGTTTTTGGGGGTTTTTTTCTGGTTGGTTTTTAGCATTTTGATAACCAGGTGTTTTGGTATGGTTTTCTTTATTATAATTATTCAAATGTTTGGTGTGCATTGAGCTTCTTAGATCTTTGGGCTTTGTCGTTTTCATCATATTTGGATATGTTCTGACCATGAATCTTTAAATATTTTTGCTCTTTCCTCAGTCTGCCTTTTTTTCTGAGAGTAATTACACAAATTTCATTTTTTCATCTCATTGTCTTTAAGGTTCCCTCTTCTTAAACTTTATATGGAACATGTATCAATGCTTTTTTAACATCTTTATTTGCTACTTCATCACCTTTGTATTTTCTGGGTCTGTTTTCATTGGTTGATTTTTCTCCTGTTTTGCATGCCTGGTAATTTGTGATTGGTTGCCATACATTGTGACTCCACATTTTTGGGTGCTCTGTTCTGTTATTTCAAATTTTTTAGATTCTATTCTAAGCTACAGTTAAGTTATTTAGATTCCATTTGATCTGTCAAGGCTTGGACATTTTACAAAGTGTCATGAATGCTGGATCAGAACAGCCTTGAGTCTGGGGCTAATTGGCCCCATTGCTGAGGTAGAACTCCTCTGAGGATTCTACCCGATTCCCTGAGTGTTTTGAGGTCTTTGCACTAAAGCTGATGGGAACGAGAATTATTTCCACCTCTGTGTGCGATCTGGGAATTCTGTGATTCTTTGCCCAGTTCTAATTAGTTTCCTCTCATGTTTGTGCAGATCGATCCTCAGCCATAGAATTTGAGGGGATCCATCCTCAGCTAATCTTCAGAGCTTTCCCATCACTCTGTCCTCTAGTACTCTGTCCCACACATTCTAGCTGTCTGCCTCCCCAAATCCTCCTCTCTCTCTTTCTCTTTCTCACTCTCAACTCCAACAGCCTTCCAAGTTCTATATGGGTTCTGCCTTCCTAAAGAAAATAGAAAAGAAGAAAGTGAACTTAGATTAGTTCAGTTGAGGGACAGAGATTGCTGCAGTTGGAATGCTGCTTTGATGTGAGGGTTCGTGCTTTGGGAGACCAAATATCAGCTGTCTGGGCATGTTCTGGTGGCACAGTGCAGAGCATACCTGTTCCCCATTCATTTAAGAAAAGGTTAACTGCTCTTCAGGTTATAATCACCAGTTTGACAACTGGATATTCTCAGAAAATATAGAGGATTGATTTTGACTTTGTAATATTATTTCTCTCAGTTCCTGTGACCTAAAGTATACAGAAGGAGTACAGTCCCTCAACTGGACTAAAATCATGAAGACTATTGTTGATGACCCTGAGGGCTTCTTTGAACAAGGTGGCTGGTCTTTCCTGGAGCCTGAGGGTGAGGTGCGTGAGTGTGGGGTTTCTTTTCTGTTATATAATAGTTGTCCGTTATTTGGGCAATTAGGAGAAGTAGCACATAAACGACCAGACTAAGTGGGAAAATCTCTGAACACATCTGATGTTATTTCTCCAAATTAGTTTTACAGGTAAACAATAAATTAAGTATTTGTAGTCACTGACAAGATTTCCTTGAAATTATCAAAACTGTTGGAAATTTTTCAAAAATTGTTCTCTAAAAAATGGTCCTCCCACCTCAGCATAATGCATTATTACCAAGAGTATTTCTGCAGTTAATATTCCTGGGCAAGGAAAGATGAAGTGAAACTTTAAGAAATATGAATTATATATTTAGGGTATCCATTAAAACAGTATATAGTGTTGGGTTTTTTTCTCTAATTCATCAGGGTAGTGATGCTGAGGAAGGGGATTCAGAATCTGAAATCGAAGATGAGACATTTAATCCTTCAGAGGATGACTATGAAGAAGAAGAAGAGGACAGTGATGAAGATTACTCATCAGAAGCTGAAGAATCAGGTTAGTCTTTACAAGGAAAAGTTTCTGTGGCTTTCTAATCTAATGCCATTTCTGGAAGCCACTTTTGCAAAAGGGAAAAGTTCTATCATTCCATTCCAGTATAATGACTAATGCTTACTAATCATTTTTTTTTTTCTTCAGACTATTCCAAGGAATCATTGGGCAGTGAAGAAGAGAGTGGAAAAGATTGGGATGAACTAGAGGAAGAAGCCCGAAAAGGTAAATTTTTTTGTTTGTTTTATTTTTTGAGACACAAATTTCTAACAGATTTCAGTCCTTAACTAGTGGAGAAAACAAGGTCTGTAATTTGTATTCTCCAAGAGGTATGACTGCCTAATTGGATACTTTTTTCATCTGTCAAGTCCCCAATGGACCCATAGTCATGATAGCCACATAGTCTTATAAGGCTCTAGAATTAGGTTATTCAGTTTCCAAATCTAAGTTATATAATAGTCTAAGTTTTTAGGCCTCTCCCAGGTTAGGAATATTTTTATAGTGGCCTGGCCGGGTAGCTCAGATAGGTTAGAGCATCCTCCTGACACACCAAGGTTGTGGGTTCAATCCCTGGCCAGGCACATACAAGAAGCAACGAATGACTTCATAAATATGTAGAACAACAAATCGATGTTTCTCTCTCCTTCCCTCCCTCTCTTTATAAAATCAATAAATAAAACTTAAAAAGAAAAAATAGATGAAAGGAAATATCTACTGTATCCTAAATTATGATATCCAAAGTTATGATAGAACTTTGCATAAATTACCCTATTTAATCCTTCTTTGTTTATAAATAAACCAAGACTCAAAAATGTTAAGTACTTGGTCAAGATCACATAACTGGTAAGTGACTGAGTCCAGATTAAAAGATCTAACTCCAGCCCTAACCGGTTTGGCTCAGTGGATAGAGCATCGGCCTGCAGACTGAAGGGTCCCAGGTTCAATTCCAGTCAAGAGCATATACCTTGTTTACGGGTACATCCGCAGTAGGGGGTGTGCAGGAGGCAGCTGATCAGTGTTTCTAATTCTCTATCCCTCTCCCTTCCTCTCTGTAAAAAAATCAATAAAATAAAAAATAAAAGTAAATAAATAAATAAAAGGTCTAACTCCAAACTATATTCTCAGTACTATTCCATGCTATCCAGTAGTATTAGGTACTAAAGCCAACCTATATCCAACTAGTAATACCTCTTCTGTTTAGCGGACCGTGAAAGTCGTTATGAGGAAGAGGAAGAACAGAGTCGAAGTATGAGCCGGAAGAGGAAGGCATCTGTGCACAGTTCAGGCCGTGGCTCTAACCGTGGTTCCAGACACAGCTCTGCGCCCCCCAAGAAAAAGAGGAAGTAACTCCTGAACTTTGGCCCTCAGCTCCATTCTTCCTCTAGCCAACCCCTGAAAATTTTACATGACAGAAACTGTATTTTTCCTTTTTTCTTTTGAAGTTTTGCCATTTGTGTTTATGGGTTTAGGGGGCCATTTGTGTGGACCAATCTACTCGGGGAATTCCAGGCCCACCAGGACACGTGCCAATGGCCCCATCCAGATGGCAAGGCAGGAGGTGTTCTTGAAGAAGGGCAGAGGCTTCCGCTGTTAATACCATTTCATTCCTCTCTTCCTGTCACCTTCTGCCAGGACGTCAGTGGCTTCTGACATCTTATTCTTTGATGTCTCAAAGTATATTTCCAAGATGTTAGTACAAGGTGAATAACTACTTGCACCATGGTTCTTGACCAGCAGATTTGATCCAGCATCCTACCCTACAGCCATGACCTTCCTCACATCTCTTTAAGTTGCATCTTTGCAGTACTCAAGAACAGACAGGTTCTTGGAATTTGCTAATGATTGTGATAAACCATACAACTTGAGCTAGTAAGGCAGATCAGGCTGGTACCTCCGTCTGAGTTTTCCTGCTTTCTTGCCTCATGCAGATGCTGGGGTATCTGCTGCCTTGGAAGACGTAAGCAGCAGCAACGCTCCAAGGCGTGGTTTCATCCTTTCAAATTCACACGTGGTATATTGGCAGAAACAAAACTACCATTGTTTGTTTTGTGATATACCTGAGTAAGAACAGCCGTGCTTCATGTACTGCTTCTGGTAAAATCCAGGAGGAGGCTCATTATTAAGGAATCAACATTTAGATCTGGAAGGGGCAATAGTCATGCCTTGGGCCTAGAATACCCTGATGAGAAGAGAAGAGAAGAAGGGAGGTCACTTCTGCAACATGGCCTCTCATCACTGCTGCTCCTTATTTTTACTTGTCTTGCATTGTCCTGTATTTATCCCAGTTTCTGTTGAACAGCTTTTTTAAGTATTTGGGGAGTTTATCTTGCCATACTCCCCCTCCTGGTTCTCTGCACCCACCTGTTCCACTGCAGTTAATTCTGTGTTTTGTGACTTTAAGAGAGGAGGGGGGAGGGGTCTCAGATTTTGTTTGTTTTTTTCTCTTTAGCAGTAGGACTTGATATTTTCAATTTTGGAAGAACTAAAAGATAAATAAACTGGGTTTTTTTGTTGTTGTTTTGTTTTTTGTAAATTCAACTTCTGTGATAGTTTTTTTTGCAGTTCCTAAAAGCAAGCCTGCTCGCTTGGTAAAGTGCTGAAGCGTTAGAAAATAATGATTTTGTCCAGCTAGTATCCTAAAAACAAACTTTCATATTCTAAGCTTTTATGATCAGATTGAGAGATACTAGCTAGACATCACAGTAAACCAAACTTATGGATTAGCAAGTTACTTTATAAGAGACTTTTTTACTATGGTTCCCTCACAGAGTTTAGAATGGAATAGCCCTTATTCTATCACGAAAACAAATCTTCGGTCATCTCCTTGTGAATAGCATGGAAGGCAGCAACAGCTTGAAGGGACACCTTCAGACTTCCTATTGGGGTAGCCTGGTCTGCAGGGCTAACAACTGTTGGGAAAGGAAAAAGAAAGTCCATCAGGCAGCAGCGGCATTCCGTTAACAAACACTGGGTGCTAGGGATACTAAGCTACTTCATTTCTCCGGGGGACTCAGTTGAATGGAAGACAAAGGAAAACAGTTACAGTGTGGTAAGTGCTGTGATGAAAACAAGGTGCTTTGGGAACACACAGAAGCGGCACCTAATCAGGACGGAGAAACTGGAAAAGGCTTTCCGGAGACAATCCCTAAACTGAGTCTTTTTAAAAAAGTAAAAGATACCTAAGCTTACGCCAATTCATGAGAACATGACAAGTTTAGAAAATTGCAAGGAGTGGCAGAAATGAAGGCTATGCAGATAAGCAGGGGCCAGATCATAAAAGGTCTTATTTGTCTTGAAAGTAATTTGATTTTTGCTGTAGTTATTAGTGACAGTTTTTATTTGGGTTCTAGAAAAGTAACTCCATTATTGGGTAATATATTCAAAGGGGATACAAATACATCAGGAAGGGTAGTTGGGCTGTTGCACTAATTCAGGGGAGAAATGAAGGGGTCTGAAGTACAACAATGAGGGGATGGGGATGGGGACATTCAGAATATTTAAAGAGGTAAAATAGAATTTTGTGATTGAATGTTGGGAGTGAGAAGAAGGTTGGAGTCAAAGATGACCGTTCTTATTTGGGTAAGAGGGAGCATAAGGTACAAGCTTGTAGTGGGGGTGGGGCTGTACTAAGGACATACAAGCAGTGACTTAGTTTGCTGTATGCTAAATTGTATTAAAAATCTGGTCTAGAAACCTAGATCTGAGATCAATTCTAGGTTCTAATTAAAATCCTAAGAGTGGACACAAACATGCAGGAAAAGGGTATATGCAGAAAAAAGGCCAAGAATTGAACCAGGGGAACCCACCATTCAAACTCAGGATGAAGAACCTGCAAGATAAACAAGGATCCCCTAGGGAGTGATGTGGACAGTCAAACTGGCCTAAAAACCAAGGGAGAAGAGTTTAAAAACGAGAATGAGAAAGGTCTAGTACAATGGTCAGCAAACTGCGGCTCTTTGGCCCCTTGAGTGTGGCTCTTCCACAAAATACCATGTGCGAGCGCCCACATACAGTGCGATTGAAACTTCGTGGCCCATGCGCAGTAGTCGGTATTTTGTGGAAGAGCCACACTCAAGGGGCTAAAGAGCCGCATGTGGTTCGTGAGCCACAGGTTGCCGACCAGGGGTCTAGTAGAATGACTAAGAAAACCATTGGACTTGGCAATAAGAAAAATTGGTAAGAGCAAAGTGCAAAGTGTTTGGATAGAAACTTCATCTTAATTGAAGAAGATAGGAGGTGCCAAAATAAAAAGTATTGTGGACTGACCATTCAGCAAATATTTCAAGGAGCTGAGTTTTGAAGTAATAGAATATGTAGCTACAGAGTTTTGAAGCCTGAATGGAAGGAAGGCAATAAAAAGGAAATTACTATAAATTGTTTTATTGTTAAAAAAACTGAGAAACATTCTTTGGCTTTAGGGATTTTGAAGTCACTAGAAAAGGCTCTAGATCAGCGGTTCTCAACCTGTGAGTAGCGATCCCTTTGGGGGTTGAACGACCCTTTCACAGGGGCCGCCTAAGACCATCGGAAAACATATATAATTACATATTGTTTTCGTGATTAATCACTATGCTTTAATTATGTTCAATTTGTAACAATGAAAATACATCCTGCATATCAGATATTTACATTACGATTCATAACAGTAGCAAAATTACAGTTATGAAGTAGCAACGAAAATAATTTTTTGGTTGAGGGGTCACCACAACAAGAGGAACTGTATTAAAGGGTCGCGGCAGGAAGGTTGAGAACCACTGCTCTAGAGGATTTCCCTTATGTGCAAAGGGCAAGGAGGTCAGGAAGAGTATGGCACGTGCAGGAAATGGGACAGGAATAGAAATTGTGAGTGACAGTTGGAAAACAGCTAACAGAGGGCACTTGCCATGTCCTAAGCTCTTAACCCTTCACTTAAGAACTCCCTTAATCCTCATGACAACACTATGAAATAGGAACTATTTTTCCAATAGTTGAAACAAGCACAGAGTGGTTAAATAATTTGCCCAATATTACAGTTAACTAGTGGAATATAATGAAGAATCTTGTCTACCAGTGAAAGTTTGAACTTTGTAACCCTTGGTCTGAAGAGTTCTGCTCAAAATTTCTTATAATTAGTAAAAAATTTATATCATGACTCAAACATGTACATTAAGCCTAGTTTCACAAGATATTTACTCTGTGCAATGTATTCATACCTTCTTTTCTACAGTTTTCTGGTGTGTCGTTTTGTCTTCAAAATCTGACTTACTAATTTAATTTCACCATCCACTAATGGGTTATGACAGGAAGTTCAAAAACCATTAGTCTGGTGAATAGTAAATGCCTACTACAGCCTAGCAGCTAAGGTAAATGTGTGAAGTCCCAGCTGTATACGGTAACAGGGAACAGAGGACTGGACAGGCCCACCTAAAGGCATTCAAATGCAAATATTGTTAAGACGTGTTGGCCTTATCACAAAGAGTCTTAAAAACAGATTTAAGAAGAATGTGGTTAGCAAATGTATAGAAATACTGTAGTAGATAGATATGGGTTGAAGAAACCAGTGACAGGGAGACCAGTTCAGAAAACTAGTTTAGCAGTTGTAATGTAGTCAAGACACTTCTGAAGCAGAATGGATAAGACTTGGTCACCAATATTGTGAGAGGTGAGAGAAGTAGAAAGTTGGTGTCTAAGAAACTGGGTGCATGATCAGGCATTAAAAGAAAAGGGGTATTAGCTGCCTTTACAAACTTTATATGCTTCAGAGAGGTCAGAAATTCTGGCGTTTAAATTTGATTAAAATTAAAAGAACTTGTCTTTTCAAACTTCCTATCTCAAACATTGGAGAATCCTAGTAGATTCTAATAAATAAGAGGTATATGAACTAAAATTGACAGCTAAAAAGGTATAAAAATTTTAAAAAATAAAGTCAACAACTGACTACGCTCAGGCTTGATCTAGAAGTAAGTAGAGCTATAGGGATTTTGATCCAATTTGTCTCATAAACTTTGTAGCAGTAATTGTGTATTGAAGGTAAAACAGGAAAAGTATTCATTATTACGATGACTTGCTCTGAAATAAATGGAACTGAGGAGCACAAAAATTTATTACTCACTGTCTAGCTTTTGCTCTATAATGTCTCTTCCTGATTCCATGATCTGCCACAGTTTCAGGTATGCATATCCTACTTCTTGACATTCATTCTTTTCCTCATCCATAGGATCACTTACCACTGTGAACTTTAAACTGAGAGGGGGGAAAGTACATTTAATTGAGCACTGCTGATACCCTAAGGCTTAAAAAAAAATAAGGCTAAAAGTAATCATAAATTAGACAATGTCTAATTACAACAGCAAAAGAGTGAGGAATTGGTATAATTTAAAGTAACAACTGGGTCCTGGTCAGCTTGCTCAGTTGATTGGAGCATCATCCTGTACACCAAAAGGTTGCCGGTTCAATTCCCAGCCTAGGTTGCGGCTTCAATCCCCCATTCAGTTGGAAACTGATCAGTGTTTCTCTCTGGCATCATGTGTATGTGTGTTTTTCTCTCTCCTCTCCCTCTAAAAAATATCATTAAAGAGATATCTGCAGGTGAGGATTTTTAAAAGTATATTAAAAAATTTAACAGCTGGTCTTGAGAAGAGGGAACTATAAGACTCAAGATAATGTAATTGATCAAGTTGTCTCAAAACCATTGAGATATAATTCCTTGAAAGATGGTTTACAATTTTTTAAAAAACATATCTTTATTGATTTCAGAGAGGAAGGGAGAGGAATAGAAAGAGATAGAAACATCAATGATGAGAATCATTGATCGGCTCCCTTCAGCACACCCCCCACAAGGGATTGAGCCCGCAACCCAGGCATGTGCCCTCTACCGGAATCGAACCCGTGACTCTGCAGTTCCCAAGCCAACACTCTATCCACTGAGCCCAACTGACTAGGGCTGGTTTACAATTTTGATGAAAGATTTGATATGGAGGAGTTGCACAAAAACCAATAAACAGGAGCAGTTAGAAGAAAAGGTTTTCAATTTCTAAATAAAAGTTGGGTACCAAGCCTGAGCATAGTAAAGGAAACAGAAGAAATACAGAATTGCAAAATGAATATAAAATGTGTATTCCTTAGAGCTGTACGTCTTGAAAGATGACACTATAAAGCACACAGCACTGTGCCTCACAAGCAGTGAGCAGTCGACAATTATTATTTCTTAATCCTCACCCAAGGATATGTTTACTAGTATAGACATTAGAGAGAGGAAGGGAGAGAGAGGGGGAGAGAAACATCGATAGATTGCCTCTTGTACACCCCAACCAGGGACTAAACCTGCATCCTAGGTATGTGCCTTGACCCAGAATCAAACCTGTGACCTTTTGGTATACGAAACAATACTCCAACCAACTGAGCCACCCAGCCAGGATAAGCAGTCAACAATTACTACCTTGACTTAGCCTAGCAAAAAAAAATGGTAACTGAGTTCCAGAGACTGGTACCTACTAAATTTTTTGAGAAAAACTCAAGTACCATAAATTCATTATTTTAACCATTTTAAAGTGTGCAATTCAGTATTTCTTAGTGTCATCACAATCTTGTGCAACCATCACCACTATCTAATTCCAGGTCATGTTCATCGCCCCTCAAAAACTCCTGTACCCATTAAGCAGGCATTCTCTATTGACCTCTCCCTCGGCTCATGGCAACTACTAATCTACTTTCTGTCTCTCGATTTGCCTATTCTGGACACTTCATAATCCTGTACTTCTCTTGAATGTTTTTATTGATTTTAGAGAGACAGAGAGGGAGAAGGAGAGAGAGAAAGAGAAACATTGATGTGAGAGAGAAACATTGATCAGTTGCCTCCCCACCAGGGATCAAACCCTGAAACCTGGGTGTGTGCCCTGGCCTAACTTGAACCAATGACCTTTCCGTGCATGGAACGACACTCAACCCAACTGAGCCACCCTGGCCAGGGCATAATTCTACATATTTTTAAAAGCAAACATTGGCCCAGCCAGCGTGGTTCAGTGGTTGAGCATCGACCTATGAGCCAGGTGATCATGGTTCGATTCCCAGTCAGGGCACATGCCCTGGTTACGGGCTCAGTCCCCAGCGTGGGGCGTGCAGGAGGCAGCTGATCAATGGTTCTTTCTCATCATTGATGTTTCTATCTCCCTCTCTCTTCCTCTCTGAAATTAATAAAAATATGTATTTTTAAAAAGCAAACATTGGTGGCTAATAGTACTAAGGGAACAAGCATAGGACTAAAAATTCAAGCTCTTAAAATTATAGCTAAAGATAACTAAGCTGAAAGAAGAATTCTGAAAATGATACATTTTTAGCACAGTAAGCAATATTCATTTGTGGTTATGTTTCTGTATGGTTACTGCGAACTTCAAAACTGCAAGGGATAATACCAACTCCCCCATCCCAATTTTCCCAGGAAAGGATGGTAACTGTCATTACTGCATGCTGGACACAATACCAAGTGCTTTAGGTAAGTGATGTTATTTCAATTTTATGCTCACAGTAGCCTTCAAGTTAAGTAATAACTTAGAGATCATAGTAAGTGGAAGAGTCAGGATTCAAAACCAGGTCTGTCTGATTACAAAGACAATGTTCTGTCCCTTGTACCATATTGGCAAAAGAAAGTAAAAATAAACTGAACTCTGAAATTGAGTAGAAGGTTGCAAAAAGGAAAGAAAAAAGTGTGACCAGTATAAGGAAGTAAAGGAAAAGAGAGCTCTAGGAATGCTGAGAGAAAGAAGAAAAGAAAAAGCTAAATTTAACACGAATGCAGAAACAACCAAATCACTTTTCATTCCCAAAAGTTATCAGTAAGCTTTTATCTATTTTAAAAGTCCATTGTGATATTGAAGTCAGATTCACTCTTTATTTCAGCTGTCTCCTTTCTCAGGTCTCTCTATGACTAACTGGAGACAAAGTAAATGCAAATTAAATAAATGTATTGGGCTTTTAGATAAGTAATAAAACACTGGCCCTATCTTATTTCTTACCCACATACACATTAAGGAATTAGGGTTGGCAGATTTTGCAAAAGAAAAGAAAAGAAAGAAACCCCAAACATATGCTTACTTAAATTTGAATTTCAAATTTCAGCTAAACAATGAATAATTTTTGTAAGTATAGGTATATCCCGTATGTTTCATCTGGAACCTCTAAAAGGAGAACTCCTCAGATGACAGGAATAATGACGATTGGCTTTCCTAAAACTTATAGTAGATCTAGAATTTACTTCAGTTATATCAAAGTATTTCCTGCTAATAAATATTTAAAATCAAACAAAATTAATATTATAACGCCATAATATTTGGTAAGGTAGTAATGGTACTGTGTTTATGCAAAATGAATCTAATTATCTCAAAATATTGAAGCATTTGTCCATTCCATCCAGAGTACTGTCAGTATTAAGTAAATTGCTGCCTAAAACACACACACACACACACACACACACACACACACACACACACACACACAAAAACACACATAGGAGCTGGTATGGCATGAGAAATGAACTAAATCTACAAGATGATATATTTTATCAGATAGTTAGCCATGAACATAAATTAGACGCAAGTAGATGAGAAATTCAATAAGGGTAAATCAATATAAAAGAAGTAGTTAACATATTCAATATCAGCACAAAACCAAACTAAAACTCTTGGATTCTCGGGTGAGTATCTCCTTTATTTCAAAGTGGAGAGTAAATGCTTACCGTCCTTGCTCAGAACCTTGTCCATTCAGCATGTCGAACAGAAACTGCCTCCGGCCTTTTTGCTCCAGACGGTCCAGGTCTATCACTATATTAGGGTACGAGGGAAAAGAACAAAGAATCATACCCTTTGCTATTTGGGCACCAAGATTTTCATAAGTGGTACATATAAAACAGGGGTTGGAAAAGTAGGGCCCATGGGCTGGCCACCCAGTTTTATAAAGTTTTATTGAACCCAGCCATGCCTATTATTTATTTATTTATTTTAAATATTTTTTAGTTGATTTTTTGGAGAGAAAGGAAGAAAGAGGGATAGAAACATCCTTGAGAGAGAAACATCATCAATCTGCTGCCTCCTTGCACGCCCCCTCCTGGGGATTGAGCCTGCTGCAACATGACCTGGAATCAACCAGCGAGTCTTGGTTCATGAGTCTCTGCTCAACTGCGGAACTATACTGGCTGAGCCTCACCTATTATTTACATACTAGTGACCTGGTATGTAATATGCACAGATTCATGCACATTGAAAGGAAATTAATTAGAAGGTGGCCGGTGGGGCGGGACTGGGTGAAATGGGCCTGACATGCCCTGGAGCCAACCTCCTGCAGCCCCTCCCCGACCAGCCGCACCTGGAGTGGCACTGTGGCTTGAAGTCCCTCTGGCAGGTGGGGTCCCTCAGCCTGGCCTGCAGGGATCTGGCTGAAATCGGCTCTCCCACATCCCCCAAGGGGTCCCAGAGTGCAAGAGGGCACTCTGCAAAGTTGGTGTCGTACAGGGTGTGGAACACAAACGCAAGTGTGCAGTAAACCAGATTCGGGGCTGACAGTGCCCCAGCAACAACATAACCCATGGCCAAAGGTGGAATCGCATGGCCCCATGAGGAATCGGTCTTCCTCCTCTCTGGTTTTGGGGTGTGTCACCCAAGAACCGCTGCTGCCAAGTCACTGCAGCTCCTGCATTGAGCATCTGCCCCCTGGTGGTCAGTGTGCACCATAGAGACGGTCAGATGATGGGAGGGACACTTAGCATGTTAGCCTTTTATATATATAGATTATCTGTGGCTTCTTTCCAACTACAATGATAGAGTTGAATTGTTGTAATTGAGTAGACAGTTGGGCTCACAAAGCCTAAAATATTTACTATCTGGCCCGTTAAGAAAACGTTTGCCAATCTCTGATATAAAGAAAGCCTTACAATCTACAATGAAAGTTATTCTGTCACATGGCAAGATAGATGTGCCCTTACCACTTCACTGGTGAAGAATTCTAGGAGGCACTTTTTTGGGGGGGACCTAGAGATGTGGGTTTTGTGGCAGTTCAACTTAAAATGCTTGTTTCAACATCCCTTTCTCCCTTCCTCCTCATTTTCGTATAAGAATGCTGCAGTCTCCAATAAACTGACCTATGTTTTCCAGCCTCTACTGTAGCTAGGGTTGGCCACATGTTTAAGTGCTAGCCATTATGTCGCAGGAAACCTGCGGAATAGGCTCAGCAGGAGGCATTCTTCCTTTCCCCTGGGCCCTTAAGGACCATGGTGTAACTGAGCAACTAAAAGGATGCAAGACAGACACTTGGATGGTGGGAAGGCAAGATAGAAGTTTGGACCTTGATGGTATCATGGAGCCTCAGCCCTGAACTGCCCACCTCTGAAATCATTTAACGCAGTGAGAAATAAACTTCTATCTGGTATGTTATAAAGAGAGGATATGCTTTTATTTTTTTAATGGTATAGAAAACAAGAAATAGCACTTAGAAATTTAAAGTATTTAGTCAATGACTGGAAGATAAAATGAAGGAAACCTCCCAAAAATTGAAAGAAAGAAAAAACAGAGGTAAGATTAGGAGGAAAATTACAAAATTAGAGGATTAATGTGGAAGATCAAAATTCTACTAAAAAAAAATAAGAAAATGTTAGAGACAAAATTATCAAAGAAATGCAATATTTCCCAGGACTAAAAGTTATGAGCTTCCAGATTGAAATAGCCCACAATATGGCCAGAACAATTAAAGAAAAAAATATGCACATTACTGCAATTTAAGAACACTAGCAATAAAGAGAAAATGTTAAAAACTTCTGGGGAGGAAGGGGGTAGTTTTCATAAACAGATTTCACTCCTGGCCTGGATCTAGAGAACCGTGGACCAAACGCTTTGAAATTCTCAATAAGAATGTTTTCAGCCCTGGCCATTGTGGCTCAGTGGGTTGGGCATCAGCCCATGCGCTGAAAGGTTGCCAGTTCAGGATGGGCCTTGATCCTTACTGGGGGGCATGCAGGAGGCAGCTAATGGATGTTTCGCTCACATCTATGTTTCTCTCTCTCCCTTCTTCCTTCTTCTCTCTCTAAAAATGAATTTTAAAACATTTTTTAAAAATGTTTTCACCCGCTCCCCCACCCCCCAAAAAAAGTTTTCAGACAGGCCGGCATGGCTCAGTGAATAGAGCGTTGACCTAGGATCTAGGAGGTCACGGTTTGACTCGGTCAGGGCACATGCCCAGGTTGCGGGCTCCATCCCCATTGTTGAGTGTGCAGGAGGCAGCAATTAATTATTCTCTCTCATCATTGATATTTCGATCTCTCTCTCCCTCTCTATTCTTCTCTGAACTCAGTAAAAACATTTTTTTTTTTAAATTGAGGCAAGCAAAAAATGTAAACAAGAAAGGAAATATCATGGTGTACTAATCTCCTTGGCTCTGTAAGAATTAATATTTACATATCTATAATAATAGATACAATTAAGATTAGATTAAATAAAAATTGTGATCCATCTAAAGGGGGAAGTGAACATGGGGGTGGTGTGAAAGAAATTGCAATAAAACATTACTCAGAAATATGGAGTTAAATAGCAGAGGAAATAACAGACAAGGGGAAAAGTGGTACAGTGGACTGAGGGATGACAGAAGGGGCACGGGAGTGATTTGGGGAGAAGGGGAGGGGCAAAGGACTGTTTACTTTTACTTCAAAACCTTTTAAGGCTATCTGATCTTTTCAAACCACATGCATATACTATTTTGATAAATAAAAGAGAAAGGGTTGGATCCGCCCCATCGGAAGTCCAGAGTAGTGCTGCCCCCTCAGTCTTAACGTCTGTCGGCCCGCTCTCCCCACTGACTGCGGGGCTGCCTCACCCTTGCTAAAGTGGAAGTGGATCTCTTCTCCTGCCCTCGGTTTCCTCAGGGACACAGGCGTTTCGGTCTCCGACAAGGGTAGATCGTGGAACTTGTACTCCACATACACCTGTTTTATGTTCTCATCAGACATCACTTCAGCTTCTGAGTAGAAGGCCAGGCTGACAATTTCAATGCACATCTTCTCTGAATCCTGATAAGAAAAAGACATTTATTTCCTGTCGGTTAGAGATGCTCCGAGTCTATACTCCACTTAATTAACACATTGCTCTCTGCCAAGCACAGGCATACTCCGTCTCGTGTATTCCTCCTTGAGAATCAGTGTGTCAGTAATATTGGCACTGAGACTACGTGACTGGGTTGTCCCAGCTAATGTGGGGGAAATTGGTAACGAGAATCCAGTCGTTTTGTCTCCTGGTCCAGTGAATCCTGTTCTCAGACCAGCCTTCCTCAGCCATCTCCACATACAGGAAGAATCAAGAAACTTCCTGAGCAGATAGCTTTTCTTCAACTTTCTAGATGAAAACCAATCCAGCATTTTCCTGAGATTAGCTCCTAGGAGACCTGCTGACTGATATTGGAGAGTTAATAGCTGTTTCAGCCTCTATAGCAAGGAGCTGCCTACTGGGCTTTTTGTTGTTGTTGTCGTCATAGTGCTGGCTGGGACTGCCCCTACCCCACTCCCCCGCCCCCATGATTTCATTACCCGACAATGGATGCCAGCTCATAGTTGAAAAGCATTGCATTAGAGTTATGGCCTATAACACGATAGCCATTCGCCACATGTGCCTGTTGCGCACTTGAAATGTGACTAATCTGAATTGGGATTTATTTTTTTTTTAAGTTGACATCTAAATGTGTTATTTTTTGAACTGGGATTTTCTATCAGTGTAAAATTCACATGGGACTTTGAAGACTTTGCATTAAAAAAAAAAAATGAATGTAAGCTACCTCAATATTTTTTTTCTCTTGGCTTGGTGTTAAAATAATAATACTTTGGATATTTAGGTTAAATAAAATATATTTTTTAGTTTATCTCTTCAAAATTTTTACTTGTTTCTTTTTACACTTTTAATGTGGCCACTAGAGAAATTTTAATTGCATTTGTAGCTCACGTTGTGATTCTGTTGGAAAGTACTTCATGGACTGTAAGCTCCACGAGGTCTAGGACCACGAGTCTGTTTCTCTAACCTCTCCAGTCCCAGCATTTAGCATGCCCCTAATTTGTTTCCTCTCCATGCACTTAGACCTAAGTAATTTTCAAAATTAGTTTTGACTCCTTCCCTTGCAAACACTCTCATTTCATTAAAGTTAGGAACTGAGAATGGTGGGGGAATATTGTTGGTAACACTGTGAGAAAGAAGCCACTATAGTGTGAGAGTACAAATTGGTATAACTGGGGGTGGGGGTGGGGGTGATAATTTTGTGGCAGGCATGAAATTTTCAAGTGCACAATTCCTTTTATTTTTTTAAAATATATTTTTTGTTGATTTTTTACAGAGAGGAAGGGAGAGGGATAGAGAGTTAGAAACATCGATCAGCTGCCTCCTGCACCCCCCCTACTGGGCATGTGCCCGCAACAAAGGTACATGCCCTTGACCCTTCAGTCTGCAGGCCGACCCTCTATCCACTGAGCCAAACTGGTCAGGGCTGCACAATTCCTTTTAAAACCAGCAGTTCCACTCCCAGGAATCTGCCTCACTAAAGCATTTGGCAAGTGCACAGAGATACATGTGAATAAGGCTGTTACTACAGCACACACACACACACACACACACACACACACCCTTTTACTGTAGGTAACTGGTGGCACAGAAATGAGAGTGACAAGGTCCCGGTACAGTTGTGCGGTACAGTTACAGACCAGAAGGCAAATTCTTTAAAAGCCAGTTATGGTCATTTGTTCCTCTCAAGGCTCGTTTACAAAGCCTGGCTTCAGTCCAAACGTCTCCTCCTCTGAGCAGTCTTTCCTCACTGTGGCCTTACCTAACTCAACCCCACTCATTGCAATCTACTATTGTCACCTTATTTGTTTTCTTTTAAAAAAATATACATATTTGAAAATACATTTTTAGTAATTTTAGAGATGAAGGGAGGGGGAGAGATAGAAACATCAATGATGGGAAAGAATCACCGATCAGCTGCCCCACAAGTGGGGTTGAGCCGGCAACCCAGGCATGTACCCTGACTGGGAATTGAACCTTGATCTCTGGGTACATAGGTCAATACTCAACCACTGAGCCATGCCAGCTGGGCCTATGTATTTTCTTCATAGTATTTAGAATCAGAAAATATCTGGCTTATTTCTTCGCTGATTTGATATTTGTTTTCCCTCAGCAGAAGGTAAGACTCAAGAGGGAAGGGACCAGCCTTGGCCAGTGTGGCTCAGTTGGTTGAAGTGTTGTCCAGTACACCAGAAGGTGGCGGGCTAGGTTCCCCGTCAGGGCACATAGCCAGGTTGCGTGTTTGATCCCTTGCTGGGGTGTGTGCAGGAGGCAGCCTATCAATGCTTTTCTCTCTCATCTCTCTCATCTCCCTCTTCTCTCTCTCTCTCTTTCCCTCCCTGTCCCCAGCTTTAATAAACATGCTCTAAAATTCACCTGAACTATTTTTCTGCATGAAGTCAAGAACCCACACACTACCAACTGGTCCTAAGCCGACCCACTAAGGGCCAGGCGCCTCTTTCGGTAACAGTATGTGGGAAATATAACTGAAACTTGTGCACACAAACAACAGTGTGGTGGTTGCAGAGGGAAGTTGGTGGGTGGGGAGTGAAGGGAGCCTGATATATGGTGACGGAAGATTTACTTTGGGTGGTGGACGGGCAGTGCAATACACAGGTTTTGTATCATAGAAATCTACACCTGAAACCTATATGCTCCTATTAACCAATGTCACCCCATACATTTAATTAAAAAACAGCAACAAAAGACTCAGGAAGAATTACTGACATTCCCCCCAAAAATATCTAAAAGCATTTGAGATAGAAGGCCTGTCCCAAGAAGAACTGCCACCATAGATGACCATAGTACAACATGAACTAGCATGGTAGATAGGGAGGAACCTAGCAGGCCCCTTTGGGTCAAAGTCCTCTCTCTGATCCGTTGTCTCTAGATGGCCCAGCAAACATTTGTTTACTAAACAGTAACTCTTTTCAACTCACGGTGAATTGCCCCATTTCCCTTTCAACTCCCAGACTGTTACCTCCTCCTCAATCCAGAATGACATACACACCTTATTCTGCCTTACTGATTTAGAATTTTCATGCTTATGTGAATTTCCTGTGCATATATATATTTTTTCCTGTGCGTACATATTAAAACATGATTTTCTCCTGTCATTTTAATTATTCAACTAGCCATAAGGAACAACATGGGGTTCCAGCCGGTGTGGCTCGGTGGTTAAGCATTGACCTATGAACCAGGAGGTCATGGTTCGATTCCTGGTCAAGGCACACGCTCAAGTTGCAGGCTTGATCCCCAGTGTGGGGCGTGCTGGAGGCAGCCAATCAATGATTCTCTCTCATCACTGACATTTCTATCTGTCTCTCCCTCTCCCTTCCTCTCTGAAATCAATAAAAAATGTAGAGTAAAAAAAAAAAAAAAGAGGGAAGGGACCAGTTCTGTCTTATTCATCATTTTGTGTGAAGAGAGCCTGGCCACATTGTGGGAATCTACCACAGTTTGTTTATTCATACTCTTACTGATCAATACATTGATGCTTCCACTTTGGGGCTATATGACTAAAGCTGCTAAACATTTTCTAGGGAAAAAAGAGAGCCTGGCAAATACTTAGACAGGCACGCACATAGCATAAAAGCTCAAGCAGCATTACACATGGAGGTCTAAGGAAAAGGTCACATATTAATTTAATGGCATACTGATCAGTATTTAAGATAAATTAAATAGAAAAACTCAATATGGACAGACTATCGACATGGACAGACTACCAAACACTACTGATTGGAAAACGCACGTTTCAGAATAATATGCATTAAAAAAATGGGGGAAACTGAGTGAAAATATATGGCACCTCCCTGTACATATTTTTGCAACTGTTTGTAAATCTATAATTATTTCAAATAAATAGTTTAAGAAAAAATAATATGTACAGTTTAATGTTATTTATTTGAAAGCATAAAGACAAACACAAAGCAATATGAATGCTAAAGTCCTTTAAGATCTGAAAAGATACACCCCAAGTTCAAAACAATAATTTTCTTTGCAGGGGTGGGGGGCAGAAGAAGCAGCAGGGATTATAAGTAGTGGTCAAAAGAGATTTAGCTTTATCTATAATATTCTAGTTTTAAAGGAAAAATGTATTCTTACCTTGTGTAATTTAATAAATTTTTAACTTGCAAATAAACCTATAGCAGATGATCAGAAACCTATATTTATGCACACTACATCAAATTTATTCTGATAACAAAGGTGAATTAGGAGGATGAATAAGATTAACATTTGAGCCAGTTACATATGAAGGCTTTATTCATTTCTATTAGATAGAACCATATGAAACACAACATTTTAATCTATAAAAATGATAACTTTATATGGTTTGTTATGGATGTACCACCTCAAAAGTCATATATTAAGCCCAGCCTGTGTGGTTCAGTGATTGAGCATCAACCTAAGAACCAGAAGGTCATAGTTTGATTCCTGGTCAGGGCACATGCCTGGTTGTGGGCTCAATCCCCAGTGTGGGGCCTGCAGGAGGCAGCCAATCAATGGTTCTCTCTCATCATTGATGCTCCCATCTCTCTCTCCCTCTCCCTTCCTCTCTGAAATATAAATATATATATATATTTTAAAGTCATATATAAAAACCCTAATCCTGCCCTGGCTGGCATAGTTCAGTGGTTAGAGTGTTGGCCCATGCATGGAAGGGTCTTGGGTTCAATTTCTGATCAAGGGCACATCCTGAGTTTCAAGTTCTAGTCCCTAGCCTGGGTCAGAGTGCATGCAGGAGGCAACCAGTCATTGTGTCTCTCTTATACTGGTGTTTCTCCCTCTCTCATTTCCTTCTCTCTCTTTCTCTCTCCCTTCCCTCCCCTCCCTTCCACTCTCTCTAAAAAAAAAATCAATGGAAAAAAATACCCTTGGGTAAGGATTAACAAAAAACATACAAAACCCTAATCCCAATGTGATGGTTTTTGGAGATAGAGCCTTTGGGAGATAATTAGGTCACAAGGGTAGAGCCCTCATGAATGGGATTAGTGCCCTTATAGGAAGAGGTCAGAGCCAGCTCATTCTCCTTCTGCCTTGTGAAGATACAATAAGAAGCTGACAGTCTGAAACATGGAAGAGGATCCTCGCCAAAATCTTACCAGGCTGGCATCCTGATCTTGGACTTGTAGCCTTGAGAACTCTGTGAAATAAACTGCTGTTGTTTATAAGCCACCCAAGTCTCTGCTATTTCATTATAGCAGCCCAAACTGACTAAGATATGGTTCCATATTTTAATTTGACCCGGAATCCTTTACATGAGCTAGTTCCATTATATAATTTTATTGGGACTGAACAGAAGAAAAATATATTCAATTAGTAATATTAAATCACACTAACCACTGTATATACTAACACATTTGATTTGCTGGCAGAAACCTAAGAGCAGTTAGTTATGCAGCCAGCATTAGTGTCAGATAGGCAGTTCCCCTCAGTTTATTAGTTCAGGTGTGCTAGCTAATATTGCTGGGAATGGGGGGGGGAGGGGCAGAGTTACTAAAATTAATTGGCTAGCATATATAAGGGGTCAGGACATCCTCCACACCTGAAATTAAGAGTATAAGGAAAGAGAATAAACTTGGAGGTTTTGATACACACTACAGCTAAAAGACAGTAACCCGGGGCCATGGAGCAAATGTAAATGATTGTTCCCTTTTCATTAGCAGCTGCGAGGACGGGGAGGGAAATGTTTTCTATGGTCCACTCAGCGTGGGAGACTGCACCCTGGGACCAGGAATGGGACTTCATCTGGAGGAAACCACGTTTGGATTGAGATCATTTCCTTTTTTTATTTTTTATTTTTATTGATTTTTTACAAAGAGGAAGGGAGAATGACAGAGAGTTAGAAACATCAATGAGAGAGAAACATTGATCAGCTGCCTCCTGCACACCTCCTACTGGGGATGTGCCCACAACCAAGGTACATGCCTTGGCCAGAATCGAACCTGGGACCTTTCAGTACGCAGGCCGGCACTCTATCCACTGAGCCAAACCGGTTAGGGCATTGAGATCATTTCTTGGGGAGTCTTAGGGAGAAGATAAGTACAGAGGGCCTTTAGGAAGATTGTGCTGGTGTTAGGGACAAAGAATATTGGGGACTAGCTGTGGTTATTTGAAATATCAATCATGCTCTGTTAACCAGGATTGCCTTGTGTTGGTTAAAGAAAGGACATTCTGACCTGGCTGGGAGTTGTGTGCCCCTGGGACCTGGGAGTCAACCTTGGACCAGGGAGTCAACCTTTAAATGTGGTTCATTCTCATTCAAGAACTGCCTGTTATCATGGAAAGATTAACAACCTGGTTGCCCGAACAATGGATTCCCACCCCAGCCTGCATAGCCTACTTCCCCATGCCCATAATCCCTGCTTCCCCATGTAATCTTTGTCCTACTCTATATAAGCATTGGGGGATTGCCAGCAGTATTGGAATAACCGCTCATATATGATTCAACCCTGTCTCTGCTTAATTGGCTCAAGTAGTGACAGGCAGCATGGACTCATTGATTGTCCAGTTATACTGGTACCACACCAATCCTGTGAACACAGGAACTGTCCTAATTCTGGACTCTAAGAAAGGCTCTCAAAGATCCATATGTATTGTCATTGTTTCACTTCTTTAGAAGTGTAAAAGGGACCCAGCCAACATGGCTCAGTGGTTCAGCATTGACCTATGAACCAGGAGTCATGATTCAATTCCTATTCCTGGTCAGGGCACAAGCCCTAGTTGTGAGCTTCATTCCCACTGTGGGACGTGCAGGAGGCAGCGGATCAGTGATTCTCTCTCATCATTGATATTTCTATCTCTCTGTCTCCCTCTCTCTCCTTTCCTCTCTAAAATCAATAAAAATATATTGGGAAAAGAAAGTATAAGGGAAAGGCATTTTGAAAGGGTCTTATTTAGGTTGTATTGTTCAACCTACTCCTCGATTGACCTGTCAGGCAGAATAGAAATGACACTCCTATTTTAATCCCCTCCCCTCAGGACCTGGACCTTCTTTGTAGGGACCTCCTCGGATTATAAAAGCTTACCCTTGAGAACTAGGATATTTCAGAGAGAATAGACTACTGACATCATCAACATCATCATCCCTATCATTCAGTGCTTAATTTGTCTCAAGCATTGTACTGAACTCTTACTACACATCACCTTCTTTAAATCTTGCCTTGCTGAAACCGGTTTGGCTCAGTAGATAGAGTGTCGGCCTGCGGACTGAAAGGTCCCAGGTTCGATTCCGGTCAAGGGCATGTACCTGGGTTGCGGGCACATCCCCAGTAGGAGATGTGCAGGGGGCGGCTGATTGATGTTTCTCTCTCATTGATGTTTCTAACTCTCTGTCTCTCTCCCTTCCTCTCTGTAAAAAATCAATAAAATATATTTAAAAATAAATAAATAAATCTTGCCTCATCACTATACAGGAGGCATACTTAATATTAATGCGTTACAGGTGAGGAAACAAAGCCTAATCCAGGTTAAATAACTCCCCCAACATTGCATAGATTTTAGCAGCAGAGCAGGCTCTAAACCACTTCTGCATGAACCAAATCTCCATGCTCTTAAACTACACTCTTCCTCCTCTGCTACCTGGGCTGATCCAGGCAGAAGAGTGGCAGAGTTCAAGTATTGAATCTGGGCCTTCAACTCTTTCAATCTTTTATGTCTAACTATTTTGAAATATAATCATGATTGAGTAGACATATATACAATCATATATATGTCTATGTTGCAAATTTAATTCGACAATAACAACACTAATTTTTTTCTTGCCAAGTAGGCTCAGTTTTTATATTTAGTTTCTCAAGTAACATTTTTGGGTACACAAAGATTTTTCAAAAAGGAGGTTAATTTAGCAGCCTTTAATTTAGAGTAATATTTCAATGTAATCCGTCTGCCTTGCAGTTCACAAACGTGCTGACCAGCTGGCTGCTTGTTGTGTTGATCTGAGGTGGCATGGTTTGGAAACCTTGACTGGAGTTCTGGCTCCTTCACTAGCGAGCTCTGTAATCCCAGACACATCTTTTAATCGTGTTCACCTGTTTTATTATCTCTAAGATGTTGTTGTCTAGCTCTAACATTCAAGGGCTCTGAGCTGTCTTATAAACATTTCTCAAGACATTAATTACATAATGTCTAAAAAAGATATGACAGATAAAAGTTCAATAAACAGATAAACTTAACTACTTGCCATATTCACTGTTTAAGTCTACAGACTTCGAGTTGTTTCTCCCCACTCCAGTATCCTTCATTTTCCTGCAAATCCTCAGGACAGGTCTGACTTTCAAGTAAGTTTTCTGACCTCTACAGAATTTCCTTTTCTAGATTCTTGAAAACCTTAGAGTTTATATCACATAATCTACTCCCTTGATTCTAAGTCACCTATACTTTACTGTTTCTAATGAAGTTCCTAATCCTCAATGAGATTTTCGTCTTTCATTCAGTTACTCATTCAACAACTGTTCACTGAGCACCTACAAACCTGCCAGGGAGCATTCTAGTGGCTCAAGAGAGTGATTGCTTTCTACCTCATGTATAAACCACAAGACTCTAACATAATGATTGTTGCGCATGTGTATCCTCACTGAGTTCCGAAGAGACTTGAGACTGAAATGTTGAATAACTAATTGTAATGACAGGTTTTAAAGGTTGGGTCGGAAACTTCAAAAACGGGATGAGTCCTCTGAGCCCTCCCAGAAAGAACCTCTCCCTCTCTCTCCGCCTCCACCTCCCCAAGTAAACCTGCTCTCCTCCAGTGGAGTTAAAGGAAGGGGTGAATCACAACTACACAATTGTAGGGCGCAGCTATAGGGTTAAGCCTCGGACTGACCTGTTGGCAAAGCCACAAACAAGTCCCAGCTTAGAGGGCACAGTCCTCTTAGGATAATTAGGCTTGACCTTATGACGCTCCCTAGATCCTTTCTAGGTAGCTAATGGGCTGTGGGAAGTGCAAGTGCTGCCAAAACAAGTGAAACTCACAAGAACATTGTAACTACGGTGAGCACTACCTTGTTTACCTCTGGCTATAACATAAAGGCTCAGCTTGCCTCTGGATCTCTCTGTGGCCTCAGCCAGGCACAGGAAGATCCACCTAGACCCAGCTTATTCTCTTTGTCTGTCATTTCTTCATCCTTTTGCTGCCTCTTGCACTCAGGCTTTTGAACCCTTGGCTGAGCTGGCTCGGCCCACACAATGAAGAAGGCAGGCAAGGGATTCAAACAGGAGAGAGAAGTGTGGAAGCAACTCCTCATTCACATCATATCGAGAAAAACGATCCTTTCATCTGACTGCATCAACAGAGTTCTATTTACTCTCAATGTATACTTAACTGAATAAGTTAAATTCCCTACCAGCATCATTAAAACTAGACTTGAGCCCTGACCCGTTTGGCTCACTGGATAGAGCGTCAGCCTGGGGACTGAAGGGTCCCAGGTTTGATTCCTGTCAAGGGCATGTACCTTAGTTGCAGGCACATCCCCGGTGGGGGTGTGCAGGAGGCAGCTGATCAATGCTTCTCTCTCATTGAAGTTTCTGACTATTCCTCTCCCTTCCTCTCTGTAAAAAGTCAAGAAAATATATTTAAAAAAAACAAACAACTAGACTTGAACTTCACATGCCTGGTCATTAAACATACTAGCTGTCATAATTTACCGTCTTGCCACCCACTCAATGATCACCCAGCATACTTACTGCCTTCGGACATTTCTGAGATATGGCTGTCACTATGTCGTCACTGTCTGTAGTTTGTGCTTCACTGACCTCAGAAGCTCGTTCACAGGATTCTTTATCTGCTAAGGAAGAGAATTGCCAGGTTGTGAACTATATGCTTAACTTTTTTTTTTTCTTTTTCTATTTTCTATGTAATGTAGGCCACAAATAGTAGTGAGCTATTTGCTTAGTGATACAGCCCACTGTAGAGTGTGGTATTCTCCCAAATAGCCCAAGTTGGTAAAGGTTATTAAAAAATAAAACCTTCCTGTGTCAATACTCAACCACTGACATGTCCAGGAAGCATAGAGAGTCCAAAGCAAGATGAACCCAGAGGCCCACACCAAGACACATTATAATTAAAATGCCAAAGGTTAAAGACACAGAGAGAATCTTAAAGGCAGCAAGAGAAAAGCAGTTAGTTACCTACAAAGGAGTGCCCATATTACTGTCATCTAATTTCTGAACAGAAACTTTGCAGGCCAGAAGACAATGGCAAGAATTATTCAAAGTGATGAATAAAAAAAAAAAAAAATACTACCTGCCCTGGCTAGTTTAGCTCAGTGGACAGAGCATCAGCCTGTGGACTGAAGGGTCCCGGGTTCGATTCTGGCCAAGGGCATGTACCTTGGTTGCGGGCACATCCCCAGTAGGGAGTGTGCAGGAGGCAGCTGATCGATGTTTCTCTCTCATCGATGTTTCTAACTCTCTATCCCTCTCCCTTCCTCTCTGTAAAAAATCAATAAAATATATTAAAAAAACAACAAAAAAAACCAAAGTGATGAAAAACAAGGACCTACAACCAAGATTACTCTACCCAGCAAAGCTATCATTTAGAATTGAAGGTCCGATAAAGAGCTTCCCAGACAAGAAAAAGCTAAAGGAGTTTATAACCACCAAACCAGTATTACATGAAATGTTGAAGGTATTCCTTAAGAAGAAGAAAAAAACAAAGAAGAAGGAGAAGAAGAAAAAGAAGAAGAAATAAAAAATATGAACAACAAAATGGCAACAAATACATATCTATCAACAATTGAATCTAAAAATCAAAATAAACAAACAAGAAATCTAAAAACAAAATAAACTGGTGAATAAAATAGAAAAGAAAATAAATTTGGGGGGGGAGGTTGGGGGTTAATGGGGGGGATGAGGACACATTTGTAATACCTTAACTAATAATAAAAAAACAAAAACAAAAACAAAAAACAAAAAAAAAAGAAAATAAATTTGGAGCACTAGTTGGTTTGGCTCAGGGGCTAGTTGTCAGTCTGTGGTCAGGGCATGTGCAGAAGGCAGCAACCAATTGATGTGTCTCTCTCACATTGATGTTTCTCTTTCCTTCCCTCCCACCATCCCTCCATCCCTCCATTCCTCGCACTCTCTCTAAAAAAGCAATGGAAAAAATATTCTTGGGTGAGGATTAACAACAATAAAAAATTTGGATTAACATCACAAATGAGCCAATTATGCTCCTTCTTCTATTTCTTTGTAACCATAATTCATAAGACCCTGGATTGATTAACATCTTAAAATCGCTAGGTAACTAAACTGGCTATAGCTAGCTTTAAATACACAGAAATCTACTTTCTTTGAGAATTCTAACCTTAATTGGCCTAACCAGCCCACTGTAACATAAAACTGAGCCTAGGGTCTTCAGTACTACATTCCCATAAAAACTTTAGCAATGAAGATGAAGAAGTAACTGTCTTGATCAAAGAATTCAATGATTAAATAGGAAAATCAGATTTTAAAAAGACAATACCAATTACAGGATGGAGAGCTTCATTTTGTATCAGTGCTGAAGGGAATGATGTCATTTCCTCTTCCTTTTTCTGATTCTTTAAATAATCATCTATGGAGATGTTAAACCCTGAGAATTTCCATTCAGTGTAGTTCACCTGCTACAGAATAAACACAATAAATAAAATTACATATAATGATATTGTATAATTATAATTATTTAATAAAATTAATAATCACATTAATATATAATTAATGCAATGCAAATTATCCTATAAAATAAAAGCCTAATATGCTAAGTGTCCAACCATTCAACTGTTTACCCAGTCACTATGACATACACTGACCACCAGGGGACAGATGCTCTGACCGGTAGGTTAGCTTGCTGCTGGGGTCTGACCAATTGGGACTGGGCGAAATGGGCTGGACACACCCTGGAGCCCTCCTGCGGTCCCTCCCCTGTCCTGATTGTGCGCTGGTGGGGTCCCTTGGCCTGGCCTGTGCCCTCTTGCTATCCGGGACTCCTCGGAGAATGTCAGAGAGCCAGTTTCGGGCCGATCCCTGCAGGCCAGGCCGAGGGGCCTCTAGTTATAACATAATAATGTAATATATAATCATATCACACATATTTATAATCTTTTTAAAAAAATGTATTTTATTGATTTTTTACAGAGTGGAAGGGAGAGGGATAGAGAGTTAGAAACATCAATGAGAGAGAAACATCAATCAGCTGCCTCCTGCACACCCACTACTGGGGATGTGCCCGCAACCAAGATACATGCCCTTGACTGGAATCGAACCTGAACCTGGGACCCTTCAGTCCACAGGCTGACGCTCTATCCACTGAGCCAAACCGGTCAGGGCTTATAATCTTATATGAACATATTTTTAGGTGTTACATAGTAACTTTCCTATAAAGAAAAGGCAGTATCAAGCACACAGTAGGTGTTCAATAAATACTTGTTCTTTTTTTTTTTAATTGATTTTTAGAGAGAGAGGGAGAGGGAGGGAGATAGAGAAACATAGAGAGTGACACCAATCCATGCCATCTATCAAGGATTGAGCCCAAAACCCAGGCCTGTGCCCTGACTGGGACTGAAACTGGTAACCTTTCAATGTACAGCATGACGCCCAACCATGTGAGCCACACCAGCCAGGGCAATACTTACCTTTTAATTTGTTTTCATTATAGTTGAAGTGGACTGGTTAAAACTGTGGTACTAAAGTTCTAAGCATAAATTGCAGATTACATAATCTGTTACATTGACTTGAACAGTCCAGAGGTTTATTAAACTACTTGTTTGTGGAAACACATAGTAGCCACAAAAAGCCATGATTATTGCTTATCCTGTGTGTCTGCTTCTGCTTTTTCCTCTGAGAACAATATCTTTGGGGATACTACAACCCACATGTTAGTTCTTCGGGTTTCTAAGGCCTTACCTGTAGTGTATTTCCACTTAAGAAGTTACGACTAAGATACTCCATTCTGTTCTTTCCTTGGATACCTGTTCTTCTGCCGTGTTTTCTTCTTGAGTAGCTTACAACCTGGTGTTCCCTTTCCTTTCTTTCTCCCACATAAGGAGGTTTTCTCTTAGTTGCATGCTGGTCAGCTGCGATGGGAATCTCAGCAGATACCACCTGGTCCGGAATAAAAGGAGCAGAAACAGCCTTATAAGATGATAGTTGACAGCCTTGATTCTCAAGAAAGGAATTTGAAGGCTAGCATTAGACTTCATGTCTCTCCTGTCACAGAGCTGAGAGATGCCATCTCTTTCTTCTCCCCACAATAAAACCCAGCGTTTGGCTCCATGAAACGCCTCGCGGCGTTATGAAGGGTGCTGACTAGGTCTGCAGAACGCATGACATTCACAGAAGGAACTTTTTCCCCCTTCAATTTTAATACTATTTTCTTCACATATGCTCCACAGGATTGGTGGAGGCCTGCTACCTGAGAAGGAAAGGAAGCCTTGTCCTCATCAGATGAGATCTCTGAACTGCGGTTGGCGCCGTTCTCATCAGTCTGAGCTTCTGCTTTCAGGAAGCTCTCGGGAGGTAGATAGCAAGACTTCCAATCCAGCTGTACCTGAACAGATCCATTGGGTTTTCTCGCAGGATCAGTGAGGCTAAAATCACCTGAGACACACACAGACATTAATAAAATCTGATCAAATGAAATAGGTAAGTGAGCTTAATCAGCACCTTGTCTATTCCCTCCATTTTTAAATTTCACCATATTGTTTACAATTAACATTCATCAAATAATCATGATGCTAATATACTCAGAAGTGACATAGAATGGTCTTGAATATTTATGTTCCCATTAAGAATATTTACTTATAATACTCCCTTAAAATATTTGGAGGGGAAGGTGGGTATCTCCAGGTTTCAAGAAGGGATAGGCAAAGGATGTATGGATAGGTAGAGCTTGCTTGTCATCAGTCACTCAGTCAGTAAACAGGATCGCCTTATCATTGCTATTACCAAATGCTTGCTATGCCTTAAGCACACCAAGGAAACCATTATCTATACTCAAGTGGTCCTTATTTCTAAAATAACAAAAGCCAAGGAAACTCAAGCAAAATAGCTTTTTCCCAAAGGCCAGACTTCTGATCTGTAATGCTGATTAATTTAACAGATGACTCACATTTTATCTCCTCTTTGGCAAAGGATGGCTTGTGAGCAGAAGTGTCAGCCTTTTTGTTTGTTTGTTTAGAGCACTTGTGATATTGGGAGGAGAGAGTCCTCACACACTTCCTGGCACATCCAGATGCTTGTTAAATATGGTTGGTTTACTGGCTGCATCCATTTCACTTCTTTTTAAAATTTTTTTTTTAAATGCTATCTTATTAGTAACATTTTCTACACATTTTCATTTAAAATACACAAGATTTTCTTTTTAAAAAAATATATTTTATTGGTTTTTTTACAGAGAGGAAGGGAGAGGGACAGAGAGTAAGAGACATCGATCAGCTGCCTCCTGCACACTCCCTACTGGGGATGTGCCCGCAACCAAGGTACATGCCCTTGACCGGAATCGAACCTGGGACCCTTGAGTCTGCAGGCCAACGCTCTATCCACTGAGCCAAACCGGTTAGGGCTCCATCACACTTATAAATGAGAGTGTGGATATTCCTGCCTCACCCTTCCAGAGAGTTGACCCTTCCTGGGTGCACCCCACAACCCTGGGTATGAAAGTAAAGTAAGGTAGTATGAAGTTAAGCTCCATTTGGGGGAGGGGGAAGGGATATTTTTAAGAAATTTCCCTTAGTTGTGGTATAGCATAGAACCCTTGCTAACTTGTGTCTAATATTTAAAGGAAGAGAATTATGAGGGACTGTTAAGGACAGTTTATAATCAGGTATGTAGTCATGTGCTAAGAAACAATAGTTCTTAAGTAAAGACAAATACTGGGAAGCATTATAGAATTGGAAAATGTTTGTTCAGAAATAAAGGCATGACTTCAGGTTGGGGGGTCTACCCACTCGGGAATCTTGCTTTAATTGTTGAAGCAGAAGAAGCCAATGTTTCCACTGACCAGTGAAACTCTAAGTCTGCACTGTCACTTTTGACAATATTCTAAAGTCCTTTCAGCAGGTTTTTAAGAGAGACTGTTCCAAGCAAGTAATCAAAGAAAAGTAGAATTAGGACTGGAAGATAACACTGGGCAAAGACCATAACAATGCAGTAACCTTGAACTCCCACCTTTAATGGATTTGTTTTGTGCAAGAGGCAGCAAGGGCACTTGGACTTTGCCAAGGTAGGAGCCAGATTCTGCGTCTTCATCATCAAAAACGTATATAGACAGGGCCTCCCGTCTCAGATATTGATCCAGGTCAGAAGTCACAAGCACTGGGAATTGAGCCTGGTCTCTAAAGTAGGGATTGTTACTGGCTGGAATGATGGCCGTGTCGTGGTCAGGAAAGGTGAAAAAACGGTACATGGCATACGGACTGGGTTGGGTTCCCAGCCGTCGACTCTGGAGGCCACAGCATCTGGTGATTTCCACCTGCAGCTCATTCTGATGCTTCCAAGTCTCTGATCTGGACTGGAGAGATGTTGGTCTTGGATGGAGAGAAAGGGCAACCTAGGAGAGTTGTTGTAGGTGAAGCCCAGCACCCTTAATGAGCAAGAGCTCTGACCTAGCGAACTGGGTCACAAAGAAACCTAATAACTTTCACCTGCCTGCACACTGACTCCGGCAGATGGCTATCAGAGGGAGATGCTGGCACTCAGGCCTTGTCTGAGAGAATGGAACAGAAAAGCTATTTTGTTCACAGCAGGGAGAGGTAACTAGCTCCAAGGGCATGGTTTCATTTCAAACTCAGGCTTGGCCAAGGAAAAAATCTGAACTACTTGTGGTGTGACAGTTTTTCTCTTCCATTCACATTCAACGGGAGGATGAGCTGACATCATGAGCTGCTGGGATGAGGCTCCTTTGAGATGCATGGGCACATCCTTTTTCTCACCTCATCCTCCTGGGCCCTCCAGGCTGACAGGTAGGCCTGAGCTTTTTTTCGCTTATTGCATGCCTGTAGGCTGGATCTTATGGGGAAGTGCAGCCTCATCCAGTATTCTAGCACCCCAAAGTCTTCTCCACCAGCTCCTGGGCAGCAGAAAGTATGAAAGGCATGGAGGACACAGATGGCGTGGCGAGGATCAAGAATAAAGGGAAAGGAAATGGGAGAGCAGCAGAGGAGCAACAATAGATGTTGGGAAATTCTGCATTGGACCCAGGAGCTGTGGGAAGCTGATAGCACTTACCAGTAAGTGTGGCAGAGCCATGGACTCTCTCCACAGTCTCCAGCACCCTGTCAAAGCAAATCCATCCGGCTGCAAGGGTGTGGTGCTCACTGGCTAGAGCCTGGTGAAGCTCAAGCTGGGCTGAAGCCCCTTGAAGGTAGTGCAAGAAAAGGGAATCTGTCTCTACCACATACTGGGAGGTGAAGTCATAAAGCGGGTGTGGCCCCACAGCTAGTGGGGTACAGTGGGTTTCAAAATCATAGAAGGAATAGGTGCAGAAAGTGGTAGGTTGAGTGTCTTCAGCCTGAGCTAGAGCAGCAGATGTCAGGAAGGCCTGGTGAATGTGCAGTTCAAACAGATTCTCACTTTGATGCAACAGAGAAATGTTCACTTTATCCTCATCTCTATGGGCTGGCAGTGTTTCCAGATATAATGACATCTGTCGGGTACCATAAGCCACATCTTTGAGCTGTTCTAGAGGGGAAAGAAAACTGCCTATCCATGAAAGGGTAGGGAGCTCGTTCTTAGAATAAAGGAAGGTGGACAAAAGGAGACTAGAAACCATGGTGGAAGTCCAAGTTGGGATTATTTCAAGAAACCATGTGATTCAAAAGGAAAAGCAGCAGAATGACAACCAGGAGCTTTGAATTCCGGTGGCTAAACAATCCAATATCTCCTTTAGAAGTAAGGTTCAAAATGAGTAATGGGAAAGTAAACACTAAGCTCAGGAAAACACTGGAGGCACAATTTATTCTACAAATGACATTTTGGCTTACAGCAAATCGGTAATTCCATCAGAGAAGTGCTAGAAACAGAAAATGTGAATATTTCCAAAATGTTGGGATATTACCCATGGAAAAAATAGCAAGTTACAGTCATGGTATCTACACTAATAAAAGAGAAAGATGCAAATTGACCATACCTTCACAATGCCCACCAGCCAATCAGGAGTGAGTGGAAATTAACCCATAAAAACTGGCAGATTAATTTACATGCATGGGCACTGAGTGGCTGGGGGTAGGCATTCCGCACTTCCCCAGCCACTCTGGGCCTCTGGGCAGCATGGGAAGGTGGAAAGGTGGCTCTGGGCCAGAGCGAAGGCGGTGCCAAGGGAAGGAAGGCCCATTATTGCACGAATCTTCGTGCATCGGGCCTCTAGTCTATTAGGTTACCTTGGGCCCCTTCTAATAAATGATTCCCCTTCTCCAGCCAGATCAGTGCCAAGAATCTTCATTCTGTTAAGAATTTGATTTCATCATAAGAAGGCAAAGCAAATCCACTTTAAGTTAAAGAGTAATGAAGTAAAAAGGTGGAGGAGGACACCTATTGGAAAGAGGTTGAAAATATTGACAATGGAATGCAAAGATATGTAAGACAGTCCAACAAATCTGTGCATTACCTCCCATATTCAACCAACCAGAAACTTGATATCGGGGAGTATTTGAGTCTTCAGTGTGTTGATGGTGAAGGTCCTATTTAAAGAGTTAAAGTAGTAGAATAAAAATATTTTGCACACATTAGAATTTCGTCCTGCCCCAAATAAATGGAACACAGAGATTGACATGGGTTTCTTAATTGATAAGATTAATATAACTCAAGAAAATAAATCTAAAATTTTGCATTTCATGACACAGAGTTAACAATCTTAGCATATGAAGAAATTCTACAAATCAATAAAATACAGAGCCACTTGCCTGACTGGCACAGTTCAAATGGATAAAGAACAGAAACAGGCAATTCTCAAAAGAAATAATACATATAACTGGTAAACATAGGAAAAACTCGTTAGCCTTACCAGTAATGACAGACCTATTAAGTTAAAATAAATGAATCTGTTAAAAAATAAAATAAAATAAATAAATAAATAAATAAATCCTTAGACGTAGATAAGGGTGTTTATCCTGCACTTTTCCAGGAGAAAGACCGTGAAACTGGAAGACATGAGAATTTCAGCCCAAGGAGGGGTTTCCTTTGTTATATGGCAGTGACCTTTTAACAGACTCACCCTGCTTTGGATAAGTCATGCCCCAGAGTGGGCCACCGCCCTTTACTCTAGCTCCATGCTCACTAAGTAACCTGCTTACTGATTCTGCTTCCAGAGAGAGGGCTGTCCTGAACAGTGGTTTCAAATATTCTCGTGGCAGCCGCTATCACAGATATAACAAATGAGCATGCTGGCTTAAATATCAGTCTTTGATGAATTTCGCTTAGTGTAAGTCAGGTCTCTCACCACTGGGTATAATAACAAAGCCAATTTTCTTGACAGGCATGGCTGAAACCAGGTCCTGGTCAGTAGGGATTGTACTAAATATAGGAAGTACCACACTATGACATTTGCATACGTGTCCAGCCACATGTCCTGTTATGCCTACCTCCTCAAACTACAACAAAGAATTTAGAGACGCTGAGAGAGAAATCACATAAAAGGATGATGAGAAATGAGTGATGAAATTCTATTATCTCACACAAACTGCTATGTAGGCCTGGCTTGAGGCAACAATCTTAAGAGAGGGAGTGTTTACACCAGCCTGAGGGCCAACGGTGATCTGCTCTCATTCTCAAAATAGATCCAGCAATTGCTGGGCCCTGTTGAAACTCTCCAGAGAAAACAGAGAAAGATGCTGATGTGATGAAGCAAAAGAAGCTGCTGGCCATGTATTAAAACAACAGAGATGGTAGGGTAAAGAACAGGAGGGAAAAGTCATACGCCAAGGACACAGACAGTAGCTTTGTGATGGGTCCCAAGGAGAGGAGAACAAAATACTAAGACTTGCCAGATAGTGGGAGGCCATGGCTTCTTAAAATACCTTCCAGTTGCTTGATACGATTGTTCTTGAGGTCTAAGAGTCTATTCAGCCTCTCCATTTTTTCATTGTGATCTTGATTCTCATTATCAGCTTTTGTCATCATTGCATCCAGTTCCTCCTGAAACAAAATAATGTCTGAATTTTTCTACCTCAGTGGCCCAGAACTAAAGAGCCCAGATATAACTCAAGAAAATAAATCTAAAATTTAGCGGGGTAAAAGACACCCCGCTATCTCCTTTGCAGGGCCAATTCAGCCACTAGGAAAAAATCTGGATTCCTCACAGACCCCTCCAGGACCTGTAGTGCTATTAGTGCCCTGGGGCAATGTTTTCCTGGGACTGGCAAAATTTAAACTCAGCAGGTTCACACCCGCCATTTCCATTCCCAGCCCCTTCACTGGCTTCTGTCGCCAGTGGGCATGCGTGAGTTCTCAAATTTTTCAAAGGACAGCACTTTCTGTGTTTGCACAGGACCTCATGTCACCTTGCATCAGCCCTGGAAACTCGGGCCTTGCTTCATTCCCAGTCTTGTAAGTGGTTCCCATGTGCCTATTTCTCTCTCCCCTTCCTGTACCCTCTTCTCTTGCACCTGATAACACACGTTGATCTTGCGCTGCAGAATAAGCATGTCTCTGGTCTTTTCTAGTTCCAGTGTGGTCTCTGCATATGATATTTGCAACTCACTTAACAACTGGGACAGTTTCTTTTCTTCTTGTTTTTTTGGTTCACAGAGCTGTAGAGGGAAAAGCATAGGTAGAAGGGAGTATAAATATGACAGGTCCGGTAGAAACTATTCTCCATAAAGCAGTTGTTGGTAACAGTAAAATACCAGCAGCAGAATCTACTCCAACATGTCAGAGAGTTCTGGTGCAAGCTCACAAGTGCCCTCTCTCCTAGCCCCTCATGCGCAGTCGCAGTGAGGAAGCTATGCAGCCTCTACTGGCTGCTTGCTCTTCAGCAGGTCATTTCAAGCCCTCATCTGAAAAAGATGCTAAGTTTTTTTTTAACTGTAAAGGGTAGAAAGAAAAAAAGTATGGATTAGTGTTGTAATCCTTTCATCTTTTCTATAGAGGGAGCTTGCTGGATGAAAGACGCACATACCTCTATCTGAGTGGCCTCAAGGAACAGAGGCGGGGGAGTGGCTGGCTCAGCTGGCCTGTCAGTAGATTGGGAAATTGTGTCTTTATTTTGGAGGATCTCTACCTCCTGCTTATGTTTCTCAAGCAGGTTGGTGACTTCAAGCTTCAGATCCTCGTTTTGAGCTGGGGAAAAAGTAATCCGGAAAGTTGAAACTCTGTAGTTATCAGTAGCCATGGTTAAAGCTGGACCAAGTATAAATCAAATTTCCCACTAATGTTTAATTCATTTTATAAATTTGCCCTGAGAAAAGCAATTCTCTTTTATTTCTACAAAGGAGTTCCAGCTTATTGACCCCGTAAACTGAGTTGATCTTTGGACTCCAAAGACAAAACGAAAAGCCACCTGCAGAACTGTAGAGTGAAAGGTAGAACAACAAACAAAAACAGCCACTCGGCGGGCCTGGCACAGCTCAAAACTTTTTGGACAGCACCATCCAAACCAGTGTGCCAACAGCTCCTCCAACTCCGTTTAGACTGCCATCTGTTGACTCTGTGGCACCCGCTCCACACTCACCCTCATCTGGCGGGACGGTGGGCATTCGGGCATTTGTGGGTATGTGTGTTTAGGGAAGGAAGGTGATCAATGTGATCATTCTATTATCATGCATTAAACAGGGGGTTACATTAGATTACCTAAGGCAGTGGTTCTCAAGCTTCTGGCCCTTTAAATACAGTTCCTCATGTTGTGGCCCCCAACCATAAAATTATTTTCGTTGCCATTTCATAACTGTAACTTTGCTACTGTTATGAATCGTAATGTAAATATCTGATATGCAGGATGGTCTTAGGCGACCCCTGTGAAAGGGTCGTTCGACCGCCAAAGGGGCCGCGACCCACTGGTTGAGAACCACTGCTAAGGTCTTTGCAAGACTTCACTTGTGCATCATACCTACTACAAAGTCAACATGTGCTCCTAGCTTTATCCTTTTATGCTTCCTGCCTCTAATTGAAAAAAATAATTTTTCTTTTTAAAAATTATTTTTATTTTTTTCAATTACAGTTTATATTCAATATTATTTTGTATTAATTTCAGGTGTTTAGCATACTGGTTAGATATTAGTATACTTTACAAAGCGTTCCCCCTGATATTTCTTAATCCTCATCCAAGGATATTTTTCCATTGATTTTTTAAAAATATATTTTATTGATTCTTTACAGAGAGGAAGGGAGAGGAATAGAGAGTTAGAAACATCGATCAGCTGCCTCCTACACCCCCCCACCCCCCCACTGGGGATGTGCCCGCAACCAAGGCACATGCCCTTGACTGGAATCGAACCTGGGACCCTTCAGTCTCCAGGCCGACGCTCTATCCACTGAGCCAAACCAGTCAGGGCTCCATTGATTTTTAGAGATAGTGAAAAGGAGGGGGAGAGACAAAGAGAAACATCAATGAGAGAGACACATTAATTGGTTGCCTCCTGCATTCGCCCTGACCAGAGCTGGGAATCAAGCTGCACTGGTACGTGCCCTTAACTGGAATCGAACCTGGGGCCCTTCAGTCTGCAGGCTGACACTCCATCCACTGAGCCAAACCAACTAGGGCTCCCCCTCATATTTCTAGTACCCAAATGGACCATACATATTATTACAATATTTGGTTATCTATGCTGTACTTTATATAACCATGACCGCCTCAGTTTTTCTTTTTGTGTGTGTGGCTTTATCTTTTTTGGTGTCATATTTCTTTTCTTTCACTCTCTTATGTGAATATACTAGAGTATGAAATCGAAGTTTAGTAAGACTAAATATCAAGGTCTAGGCTAGCAAAAAAAAGTGAGGCAAAGGTCTTTTTGATAGTATTTAAAAATCTTTGAGTCTTTTTTTCAATCTTTATATTTAATTCACTTTTAGGATATAGTCTGGTGATTAGTCAGTATACACTAATATCGGTATAGTGCAGTAACAAATATGTGCTGTATCTCCATGGCTTAACACAGGGGTCCTCAAACTACGGCCCGCGGGCCACATGCAAATACAAATATTGTATTTGTTCCCGTTTTGTTTTTTTACTTCAAAATAAGATATGTGCAGTGTGCATAGGAATTTGTTCATAGTTTTTTTTTAAACTATAGTCCGGCCCTCCAACAGTCTGAGGGACAGTGAACTGGCCCCCTGTTTAAAAAGTTTGAGGACCCCTGGCTTAACACAACAAGGTTGAAGTCTGGGCTTGAGAAGTCCAGTATAGATCAAGAGACTTTTTTTCATGTGAGTCTTGGGGATTAATCAGCTTTAATTTTTTGGCTCCAATATTTTGACATGTGGCCTCTGATGCAGTTTATATAAACTATGTAACTCTAACAACTCAGCCAAAAGGACAGGCTGCTGGGCTACTACCCTGCCTGCCAATTGCCTCCTCAGCCAGGAAACACAGAACATGTTGTTCTCAATGTGGTGAGCCCTAAACATTTTTGGAGTAACTATCTACTGTGATCCAAGAGTTAGGATAGGAGAAAATGATAGTGGTAACTAAGAGCAATAATTTGCTTCTCAATTTCAGGCATCAAATGCTAAAAAAATAAATAAGGCCCTCAATCACTTCTAAAATGATTAATAAGAATAAAAGTCCCTCTCCCTCTCTTTCTGTAAAAAATCAATAAAATATAGTTTTTAAAAAAAGAATAAAAGGCAGAGAAATTCATTTTCAATACTTTCAATAAATAAAGTGGCCCTAGCCAGTTTGGCTCCGTTGATAGAGTGTTGACCTATGGACTGAAGGGTCCTGGGTTTAATTCTGGTCAAGGGCACATGCCCAGATTGTGGGCTCGATCCCCAGTAGGGGGCATGCAAGAGGCAGCCGATCAATGATGCACTCTCACCATTGATGTTTCTATTTCTATCTTCCTCTCTGAAATCAATAAAAATATATTTAATAAATGAATGAAGTGAATGTTTAAAAACATAATAGCCTGGCCAGTGTTGCTCAGTAGTTGAGCGCTAACCTATGAACCAGAAAGTCACGGTTTGATTCCTGGTCATGACACATGCCAGGGTTTTGGGCTTGATCCCCAGTAGGGGGGCATGCAGGAGGCAGGCTGATTGATTATCTTCTTTCATCATTGATGTTTCTCTCTCTCCTTCTCCCTTCTCCGAAATAAATATTAAAAAGTATATATATATATGTATATATATATGCATAATAAATTAAGAATTGGCATCCTCTCAAATGGAAAGTCATTATATAGAAAAAAGTATAAGTGTGAGGTAGGTGTTGTGCTTTCTGGATTGTAAAGCTGATCCCCATTGCCAGTGTCCTTATTCTAGCCAACTATGAACAACTGAGGGATTAGAGAAATGCTGACCCAGGTTCCTTTCTCCCCAACCAGATGCAGAGGATGCCTCATTTGAGACAGCTCTTCAAGACCCAGCCTACCTGTCACTCTGGACAGCTGAAGTAAGACTTCTCTCTTCTCCTCCAGCTCAGCATCCAGCTGATGCTGCAACTGAGAGACCTTCTGCTGAAGCGGTTCTCCTCCACGTTCTTGGCTCCAGTGGGGAGGATTACTGCTGTCCAGCATGCTGAACCCGAGAAGAAGTAAGGAGGGAGGGGGGATTTGTCAGATGGATACTCAAAGGTGTTTGACAAAATGTCTGTATTACACAGTCTCAGCATCTCCTGGGCCTAGTTCATCATTCACTGCCCTACATGTTTTTTCTGCCCCTGCTTTATCTGTAACTGTCAGTTACCAACTGCCTTGGAACTTTGGGTTCTATTGAGTTCTTTAGCATCACTTCTGTTTAGGCCCCAAATAGCCCGCTGGGCAAACCACCCAAGTCACATCTATTTCTCAAGGAACTCCTCTAGCATGACGGCTTTCTTTAGTCGGGAAACTGTGTACCAGGACATTCTCAGGCCTGCTGGATTAAAATGAGGAACAAAATACTCCTCTTTTCCTCGCTCTATTCCTCTATCTACCATCACCAGTGGCTAGTTTAGAGAATACTTGCTTTTGAACTAGAATATAAATTGCTACACTGAGCCCAGCCGGCGTGGCTCAGTGGTTGAATATCTACCTATAAACCAGGAGGTCACGGTTCAATTCCTGGTCAGGGCTCCATCCCCCATGGCGGGTGTGCAGAAGGCAGCCAATCAATGATTCTCTCTCATCATGATGTTTCTATCCCTATTTCCCTCTCCCTTCCTCTCTGAAATCAAAATATTTAAAAAATTACTAGGAAGGCAGGAACTAATAGTTTCAACTTTTCAGTGACTATACCCTACAAACACCATTGTATGTAGCTGTCAGAGCAGACCAATTTTGGGTTTGTTTGTTTGTTTGTTTGTTTTGTTACTCCTCATCCAATGATATTTTTACCATTGATTTTTAGTAAGAGAGGAAGAGAAGGGGGAGGGGGAGAGAGAAGTAAGAGAGAGAAACATCAACGTGAAAGAGACACCTTGATTGGCTGCCTCACACAAGCGCTCCAACAGGAGCCAGGGAACAAACCTGCCACCCAGGTAGGTGCCCTTGACCAGGAAGCGAACCCGAGACCCTTAGGTTCTTGGGCTGACACTCTACCACTGAGCCACTCCGGCCAGGGCAGGGCAGACCCATTTTGAATGTAAACACACACGGCCAGTCCTTAGTTGTTTACACAAGTGGAGTGATATTGACAAACTGTTATTTCTGCTTATGTCTTTTTTTCCTATTTATCGCTTCAATAAATGTGGTCTAAAAACAACTGGCTTAGGCTAATATTAAGAGTTCTTGGCACTTCCTGACCATACATTCGATGACGGTCCAAGAAGATAATGTTCTGCATGATGAGGGGAAGACCAATAGTAGTGTTTGTAACAGGGAGGCTTCAGCGTGGTAATCCCCCACTACCTCATTTCACTGAGGTGAAAAGCATCAGTTGTTCCCAGGATATCCCCATTCAACTTCCCCAATAGATCCTCTTCCGCCTCTAACTGAATCAGAAGGAACATTTAATTTTTATTAATTCCAGGTATTTTTAATTCCAAAAAGGAAATGCATGAATGTATGTGTGCTGTGAAAAAGTAAAATGATGTGGAAGTGTGTAGAATAAAAATGAAGGTGCCTCTTTGCCCTACTCCAATCCTTTTGGGTCAGAGTTAATATATTCTTTTGCAACTAGATTTTTCTTTTAATAATAGGCAAATATGACTACAGCATTTTTGTTTGTTTGTTTGTTATGTTAATCCTCACCCGAGGATATTTTTCCATTGATTTTTAGAAAGAGTGGAAGGGAGGGGAGAGACAGAGAGAAACATCGATGTGAGAGAGACACATTGATTGGTTGCCTCCCACACGAGTCCTGACCAGGGCCGGGGATCAAGCCTGCAACCGAGATATGTGCCCTTTGACTGGAATCGAACCCGGGATCCTTCAGTCCGCAGGTTGACACTCTACCCACTGAGTCAAACTGGCTAAGGCCACATCATTTTTAATAGCTTCATCAGATTTTTTAAAATTTATTTTTATTGTTGAAAGTATTACTTCTGTCTCCTTTTTTCCCCCCATTGACTCCATCCACCCTGCTCCTGCCCCCCTACCCCCAGGCCTTCACCACATTATTGTCTGTGTCCGTGGGTTATGCATATATGCATATAAGTTCTTTGGTTAATCTCTGCTCGCCCCCTGCATCCCCCTTCCCAGCTTCACCATATTTTATTGTGGAAATGCAAAATGATTTACTTAGTCAATCCTTATCAAAGAAAATTTGGATGATTTCAATTATTTTTTACTATTATTAACAATGCAGCCTGGCTGGTGTTGCTCAGTGGTTGGATTCTGGTGTTGCTCAGAATCTAACTAGGCGGTCAAGGTTAGATTCCCAGTCAGGGCACATGCCCTGGTTGCAAGCTTGATCACCAGTAGGCGTTATGCAGGAGGCAGCCTATCAATGATTCGCTCCCTCTCCCTTCCTGTCTGAAATCAATAAAACTAAAAAAAAAAAATGCAGTAATTAACATTCTTATTATATGATATCTTTGCATATACATATAATAAGATTTGTTTTGTTTTGATTAAAAAATGGAATTGCTGGCACAAAAGATATACAGAGGTTTAACATTTTGGTAGATAGTATCAAGTTCCCTTCCAAAAAGACTGTGCTGATCTACATTCTCATTTACAGTATTGAGTACCAGTTTCCCCATATCCTTGTCAACTATGTATTATTTTTACAATTGGGAAGGCACTTGTCTATAATCATCTTTTATAGCAAACAATGCACTGGGACCCAAACGTGGTACTCACTTTTCTAAGAGTTTGTTATAGTTGTCATTCAGCAATTTTCGTTCTTTTTCCAAATCGTCAACTCTTTCCTGAAACTAAGAATGACAGTAGAGTGACTGAGATAAAATTTTAAAATATATTGCCTTGCACAAGATTTCCCTTTTCTGTTGCAGAGTGGGGCGTGGGTGGGAGGTTTTCTACATTCACCTCCAATGTTTATGAGGAGACACTCAACTACCAAGACTTGAACCAATTAAAAATAGGATAGAAACTTTTCTTGGAATTAATGAAGATTTCTGAAGTAAATTATCATGGTATCTGAGTTTCTACTGTTAGGGAAACAGCAGAACACTATAAAAGAGCAAAGACTTTGGAGAACAGACATCATAAGTGTAAATCCCAGTATTCCCCTAATATTATAATCTTGAGCAAATTATTTAACCACTTAGAGCAGCGGTTCTCAAACTGTGGGTCGCGACCCCTTTGGGGGTCGAACGACCCTTCCACAGGGGTGGCCTAAGACCATCGGAAAACACATATATAATTACATATTGTTTTCATGATTAATCACTATGCTTTAATTAGGTTCAATTTGTAACAATGAAAATACATCTTGCATATCAGATATTTACATTACGATTCATAACAGTAGCAAAATTACAGTTATGAAGTAGCAACGAAAATAATTTTATGGTTGGGGGTTACCACAACACGGGGAACCGTATTAAAGGGTCGCAGCATTAGGAAGGTTGAGAACCACTGACTTAGAGCCTCATGTTTCTCATCTGAAAAAGTGAAATACCCATAGTGTTGCTAAGATATACTTTTTAACATCGTTAAAATTGAAACATAACTTACAATTAGTGGTATCTGTTGTATATTATGATTTACCTCCTTCAATGTTATCTGCAGAATGGATGCGTCTTCCAGTTGGCTCTTCAGGCTCACAGCCTTCTTGCTCTCCTCCTTCAGCTCTGCCCTCAGCTCACTCACTTGGCTGAGGAGGGCATCATGGGTTGCACTCAGGATCCCCTGGTTCTGGGGCAAAACAGAAGGTGCTCTGGGAATGGTCGTATCACTCACCAGTGACACCAGCCTTCCTGTCACTCCCTAGTGGATGTCACAAAGAATGGCTTTGATTAACAGCGTGTTATATTTGCACTCTAACGTGGCCTTGTTGTTCACCTTAGCACTTCCCAGGAAGTGTTGTTTCCCTGTTAGTGAGGATTTCCCACTCTGATAAACTGTAATTCATAATTGGAGCCTTAATTTTCCCAAGGTTCAAATTAAACCCTGGCTCTACGTGAAGCACCGCCTTTCACAGCTGCCTTTACTTTCTAAGCTATTTGAATGCTTTTTATGATGATATACTTCTCCCCTTACACCCAGCAAAATGACATGTTAATTCTAGAAGTTAAGTGTGCATTTTTTGGTGGACACTTCTGTTGAGGAACTCTGCCTTAGTGACTCGTAAAAGCACGAACACTCCCCCCGGCTCATCTGCACCCCAATCTCAGGAATGAAGAGGGCCAAATATTTAATAGCATCAGAGAAGATTTGCAACGTTGTTATATCTTGCCATCTCACACATGCTAAAAGACTAGTCTTAGGAATTTATGAGTCAATGCTATAATTCTCTCTAGCAATAGGTTGAAAAATACTCTTCTAAATATTTCTCAACTCAGCTCTCATATTTCAATTTTTTTGTGGAAACAGTGCAACAGGTAGCTTCTGATAACAGTAGTATCATTTTTCTTAACAGAAATTATATGACACAATCACTTTGATTTAGTTGGTTAAATTCTGGTGTCACGTTGCTTGAAGATGAATCCGGAATTCTTTGCGTTTCATTACTCTGATTGATCAGAAACAGAGATTCAAGGAATCCTTATTAAGTACCTTCTGGAGCAGAGTTTCATATGCCTGAAAGAAAAAAAATAAGTATTATTCTATTGATATAGCAAATTGATTTTTATTTTGATGTTTATAACACAAATGTTTAAATATTTATTTTTTATTTTTTTTAAAAATATATTTTATTGATTTTTTACAGAGAGGAAGGGAGAGGGATAGAGAGTTAAAAACATCGATGAGAAACACCGTTCAGCTGCCTCCTGCACACTCCCCACTGGGGATGTGCCCACAACCAAGGTACATGCCCTTGACCGGAATCAAACCTGGGACCCTTGAGTCCACAGGCCGACACTCTATCCGCTGAGCCAAACCGGTTAGGGCTAAATATTTATTTTTTAAATCATCATTAAAAATCCCCATACATCAACTCATTTGAGTACCTGATTACTAATTGCTAATACTATTCCCCTGTGCTAGTTTGCCAGATTGTATATGAATATAATAGACCACAACATTTAAAAAAAAAAAATGAAGCGCCCTGGATGGTATGTCTCAA